TGTGCAAATCAAGCTCAGATTGCTAGTTCTGCCTTGCAATTGTTATGGAAAGTTGGGGGGGGAGGAAAAAAAAAACCTCCCTAACATTAATTGAACATGCAAAAACCCCTAAACACAAGCATCCCGAGAGGAGTTGAAAGAGCAGTGGCAAGAGAAAACAAATTTATGGGAGTTGGGGGAGAAGAGGGAGAGAGAAGGGTCACTGGAGATATGGTAACTCACAGTAGGTGACTAAAAGCAAGCTGTAAACCTGGTCATGAATTGGCAATATTTTCAAGGCAGCTACAAAGGCAGTCAGTGTGGCATAGTGGTTAGAGCACTGGCCTAGAACCTGGGAGACCAGGGTTCAAATTCCCACTCTGTCAGGAATTGTGAGAAGAGACCCCCGAGGTTCATCTAGAACAGCGGTTCTCAAGCTGTGGGTCCCCAGATGTTGTTGGACTACAACTCCCATCATCCCTGAGCTCTGGCCTTGCTAGCTAGGGATGATGGGAGTTGTAGTCCAACAATATCTGGGGACCCACAGCTTGAGAAAGGCTGATCTAGAACATGGGTAGGCAAACTAAGGCCCAGGGGCCGGATCCGGCCCAATCGCCTTCTAAATCCTCCCTGCAGCGGTCCGGGAATCAGCATGTTTTTACATGAGTAGAATGTGTCCTTTTATTTAAAATGCATCTCTGGGTTATTTGTGAGGCAAATTTGTTCATATTTTTTTTCAAAATATAGTCCAGCCCACCACATGGTCTGAGGGACAGTGGAGTGGCCCCCTGCTGAAAATGTTTGCTGATCTAGTCCAACCCCCAGCAAAGCAGGAATCTGGCCCACGGTCATCCCTTGGTGGGTTTGAACCACCGATCTTCTGGTTATCTGCTGGACGCACCGACCCATCGAACCACAGAATGTGCGTTTTTTGAGGAAAGGCGGGATATAAAATGTAATACTACATAATAGTATATACCGTATTTTTCGCTCTATAGGACGCACCCGACCATAGGACGCGCCTTGTTTTAGAGGGGGAGAACAAGAGAAAAAAAAGGCTCTCCTGGCTTCAGCCGAGAGGGAGAGCTGCGCAGCGCCCCTTCAGCCAAGCGGGAGGAGAGATGGAAGGGTCTCCGTTTCTCCTGCCGCTTCGCTGAAGGGGCGCTGAGCAGTAAGTTCAAATCTTACTCAGCTCAGGCGGCTATCCCTGAAACCTGGAGAGCAAGAGGGGTCGGTGCGCACTAAAAAACATATAAAAGACAATAGTTTTTAAAAAACTAATTAAATTATAATGGAATTAAAAGGATGTGAAAACCAAATCTATTAAAATTACAGAGAGAAAAACACAGATAGTAAAAACAGGACATTGCTATTAAAAGCTCTTTCCTTAAAAGCGGTCTGTTCCCAAAAGGCCTGCCAGACAAAACAGTCTTCACAAACAAAAGTGTAAAACTGAAACAACCGACACCTTTTCCTGCTGATATAAAGGAAAGCGGCAGCAGTTTAGGAGGTGGTTAAGTGGTCTAATGATAGCAGCAAATAATATTATGTACTGAATATTACATTACAACAGCAGCCTCACACCCAGCATTGCTCAGGAATTCTAAGAAACAAACAAACAAAAATCAGTGCAATTCTGAAAGGTCCAGTTCACCCATCTTGATTCAAAAATGGTATCCCAAAATAGATGAAAACAGGCTCCTTGAGCTCAGAATCCATCACACGAAATTTGGTGTTCCTGTCTTAAGAGGTGCCCAAATGTATAGCAACCAGACAAACAAGTAACTTTCCAAAATATAGATTATGCTCTCTCTGTATATATAATGCTGGGGTTTTCCACACTGTTGCTATTTTCAGCTGGGAATCAGTCACATAAAGGCAAAGTCAGGCCACACAATTTAGAGTTTATTTTAAAGATGGGCATTTTTGCAATAAGGGAAGTGATGCGGGAGGAATATGCCTTGGAAAGTGCAGGATGATGACACTTGCTTTGGAGCAGCAGCATCTAACCTCCCCAAAAACAAATCAGAATGAACGCTTGTTACCTAGCCAGTGTCCTTTAATCTTCCGGCAAACGAATCAGAATGAAGGCATGGTAAACAGGTTCGTCTGGAAGCATAGACCCATTGAATTCAATTTTTTGTAAAGCAGGGATGTGTGTTATGTGGGTATCCCCTCCCCGCTCCCAAAGGTCTTTAAAAAACAAAAACAGACAAACACTACCCCTTTAAAAGAAAACAACAAAAAGAGAATCACCCCATATAAATTATGGCCATAAACTTTTTTTCCCCCTGCAGTGCAGCCTAATTAATTCCTGCTCTATACACAAAGGGAAAATGCTGGGTGACAAATGGGTGCAGAGCTTGAAAGCTGCCACGTCGGCAAAACATTTTCTACTTCAATTTATAAGCAATTTTGCAGTAAATCATCCGCCAGAATCCAAGATCCACAGGCAGCAAGGGAGAGCCAGACCATGCTGGGGTGGCTTAGCCAAGATACAAAAGATGTAACATAAACGGTGTTTGTGTGTGTAGGAAAACAGGTGCCCCCGTGCCACAGTTCTCAGAAATACTTTTTTTATCTCCATTTAAAACTCTACAAAGCAATAGCCTCCCATGATGCAACTTGCATGGGACTTGTCGTGCCCGCAATCCACTGCTCAAGAGGGAAAGGCCATAGCTGAGGACGAAGAGCATCCGCCTTGCATGCAAATGGTCCAGGTAAAATTCCTGGCACCTCCAGGTAGGACTGGGAAAGACTCCCCTGGAGAGCTGCTGCCAGACAGTGCAGACAATCCTGGGCTAGATGGAACAATGGTCTGACTTAAGGAATATGTCTATATTCTTAAGAGTCAAAAGGGGTACCCCTGCAAAAAATATACCGTATTTTTTCCGTGTATAAGACGCCCCCATGTATAAGACACCACCTATTTTGGGGGACTCCAAATTAAGAAGACACCCCTCAGCACTACCTGTGTATAATACGAGCCCCAATTTTAAACCTAATCTTTTGGTAAAAAAAACCCTAGTCTTATACACGGAAAAACATGGTATATAGCAAACCTAGGATGCTGCCTTATACTGTACTGTCTACATTGACTGGCAGGCAGCTCTCCAGGGCTTAAGGCATGAGTATCTCCCAGCCCTACCTGGTGATGTGGGGAATTGAACCTGTGACCTTCTACACGCAAAGCAGATGCTCTACCACTGAGCTACGGCCTTCCCCAAGAACCTCACTCACTAGTGACAACTTTTAAGTGCTAACGGACCACCGGCAGGTAAAATGACCCAGACGGAACTCGTATGTCTTGCAAGTCTTGTGTGTGAGCAGAACTGGTGACCAAACAGTGCCCCTCCTCCTCCTCCAAAGTATTCATAAGCATGAGCCTCTGTTACCCAGAAGCCTTCATCAAATTTTGAGGCATTGTTGAACTCAATGAAACCTGTTTCAGAGGATCAGGGAGCAAGTGCCCACATTTCCTTAAGTATCTTGAAAATGCCCCAGCGCTGAGATTTTTCATGATATGCATTATTTACTTTAAAATTTATCTCTTTCATAGAAAGAAAACATTATCCTGCTGTGTCAGCAAAGACAAGACACCTCAAGGCAGCTAAAAATTAGATGTTAAAAAAATCAGTTCAACTGATTAGAAGACAAATGATCTAAGGTTAGAATGCCATCCACACTAACTTGGGAGAAAGCGCTATTGAAGAAAGTGGAAGTTACTTTTGATTAAACTAGGATTGTACTGTATGACCTACATTTGCAGGACTAGAACAATCTCGCATGCCAAAAGCTTCTGAATTTCTAGAATCTGAAATATCATGCATAAGCCAATAACAATTTTTTTAAAGCTGTTTTAGTTCTAGATATTTGACACTTTTCTAGCTCAAGATGCAAATAACAGGAGCCGTGCAAAATAAAATGTATGGTTTTCTTTCAGCTCGCCGGGGGAGCTTTTTTCTTTCTTCTTTTTTTAAAGGGTTTTTAATATATATAAAATCCCACCTCTTTACAGAATTTATATATTAAACTCCGTGTTCATTGCAGTGTTTTGCTTATGGGAAATATCCAAATGTCAACCATTGTTTCTGTTAAAGGTCTTTAATGATATCGTGGTTTCTGGACTTGTAATGAAAACACGACGCTGGCTGCAGTTTGTAATGCATCTCATTAAATACGTTAATGGCACACGTTTTACTAAAAGGTCAGGTTTAGTATTGGTGGGAGTTTGCCTTTTAAGGCAAAAAGGGAGAAAGCAGGAACTTGGTTTAAAGCTATAGCTAACTGTGTGAACTATAAAGCGTTTCACTTGATGTGGATCTGCGAAAACACCAAGGAACCACTTAAAAGTTCATCGCTGATGAATTAGCATCCTGTGAGCTGTCACTTAAAACCACGTCTGCACCCTACACTCTGATACCACTTTAACAGTCATGGCTTCTGCCAAAGAATCCTGGGAACTGTAGTTTGCCAAGGGTGCAGAGAGTTGCTAGGAGAACCCCAATTCCCAGGCAGAGCTGCAATTGCCAGAGTTCACCAGGAAAAAGGGGATTACTTTTACACTAATGTGTCCGGGGACTGCAGCATTCCTGGCTAGGTTCAGAAAAGAAACCACATACCGTATTGGCCCGAATATAAGCCACACCCGAATATAAGCCACACCTTTAAAATTCAAGGAGGGAAAAGAAAAAAAGCCAATACCCAAATATAAGCCGCTTCCTTAAAATTCTGCAGGCACTCACACCCATTCCATTTCACCGTATGTCTGTTTCAGTAGCAATATCATAAAAGCACATTTTTGTAAGTTCGGGAATTTAAGCTGCACTTTTAACTTTTCATGGTCGGAATTTGGAAAAAAGTGAAGCTTATATTCAGGCCAATATGGTACTTTGCACCAACCACAGCGGAGAATCCAAACCACACCTTGAGCTTCCAAACCTACATTTTGATCCCCGCCCAAGTACAGAAAATACAAGCACAAAACCAGTCTTGTCTGGGGAAAGGAGAGGGATTCTTACTGTTCTTGAGTGCAGCGGCAAACTCCTGTCCTCCTCTTTTCTTAAACTCCAGGAAGGTATCTGGCTGGGGAAGCTGGTTGGCTGTCAGGAGAACCTTCTGCAGTTTAATTCGCCCTTCCAAGAGCTGATCCCACAGAGCTTTTGTAAAGCGGGGAGCAGGGTAGAGAAGAAAAAGACAAAACACCATAATTAAATAGGAACATAGGAAGCTGTCTTATACTGAATCAGACCACTGGTCCACCTATTATTATTATTATTATTATTATTATTAAATTAAATGTAGCTCAGTATTGTTCTGAACTGTTAGTACTGATAATCTTGTTTTGTTATTTCATGAACTGGCTTGAGTTTTGTTTGGGTGGTTTTGTGTTTTTTTTAACAATAAAGCACTATATAAACAAACACAAACACTGAGACAAGGGTTTCTCCCATCCCTACACAGACATTCCTGGGATTGAACCAAGGCCCTTCTGCATGCAAAGCAGATGCTCTACCACTCAGATGCGGCCATTCAGGGGTGTTTTGTTTTGGCAGCTATGGCCGTTCATGGCTGACGTATCAAAGCCCCAAGTATTCCCTCGCCTCCCTCACAACTGCCTGCCAGAGGGATGGCAAACAGTACCTTGTTAGCTTCCTAAACATTGAAAGCAATACACTCAAGGTTTGGGTAAAATGCAGAAAAGCCTGCTCTCTCTCCTTATCTCTAAGGCACCTCCCAGGTAAGGCCCTCCGATGGCAGCACACTAAGGTGAGCATGGGGCCCATACACCACCAAAGTACCCCGCTGGCAAGAGCGCCCAGGATCTGCCCCTCCTCTTCGCCATGACAAACCGATCACTTGTTCACTCCCCTCTCACTTTGGCCCAGACAACAGTGCCAGAGAAGAGGAGAAGCAGATAATAACGTACAGTGGTACCTCAGGTTACATACACTTCAGATTACAGACGCTTCAGGTTACAGACTCCGCTAACCCAGAAAAAGTACCTCGGGTTAAGAACTTTGCTTCAGGATGAGAACAGAAATCGTGCTCCAGCGGTGCGGCGGCAGTGGGAGGCCCCATTACCTAAAGTGGTGCTTCAGGTTAAGAACAGTTTCAGGTTAAGAACGGACCTCCAGAACAAATTAAGTTCTTAACCCGAGGTACCACTGTACTTCCTTTAACAAACAAAAGAGTATTTGATACCAAGTCTCAGCCTGAATACCTCTCAACTGAAGGTGTGCTCCAAGCAAGGATGCATTGAACTAAGATCTGACTTTTTCTGCTGAGTACAGTGGTGCCTCGCAAGACGAAATTAATTCGTTCCGCAAGTTTTTTCTTCTTGCGAGTTTTTCGTCTTGTGATGCACGGTTTCCCATAGGAATGCATTGAAAATCAATTAATGCGTTCCTAGGGAAACCACCTTCAGACCAGGTCCGGGGACAGTCTGTCCCCCGACCTCTTCTGAAGGCTGGGGGGGGGGGGACAAGGGCTTTTTCCCCACTGCCAGCCTTCAGAAGGCTGTTCTGAAGGCTGGCGGTGGGAAAAAAAGCCCTTCTTCCCACCTCCCGCCCCGCAAGCTCCGGGGACAGGAGGGCTTTGCTGCTGACCGCCAGCATTTTAAAAGCCTCTGCTGTCCCGGGGCGATTTTAAAATGCTGGCGGGCGGGAGCGAAGTCTCTGCTGTCCCGGGGAGATTTTAAAATGCTGGGGGGCGGGAGCGAATGCTTCGCTCCCGCCTGCCAACATTTTAAGATCGCCCGGGGCAGCAGAGACTTCTCGCCCGAAGCAAGAGGAGCTCTCCGAAGGGCTCCCCGTACTTCGGGTGACAGGCTGCCGCCCCAAGCCTCGCGCACCCGGTGGGACCTCCTGCCGGGTGCGCGAGGCTTGCTGACACTCGCCCGAAGCAGGGGAAGCCCTCCGGAGGGCTCCCCGTGCTTCGGGCGACAGGCTGCCGCCCCAAGCCTCGCGCACCCGGCGGGACCTCCTGCCGGGCGCGCGAGGCTTGCAGACACTCGCCCAAAGCAAGGGGAGCTCTCCGAAGGGCTCCCCGTGCTTCGGGTGACAGGCTGCCGCCCCAAGCCTCGCGCACCCGGCGGGACCTCCTGCCGGGTGCGCGAGGCTTGCAGACACTCGCCCGAAGCAGGGGAAGCCCTCCGGAGGGCTCCCCGTGCTTCGGGCAACAGGCTGCCGCCCCAAGCCTCGCGCACCCGGCGGGACCTCCTGCCGGGCGCGCGAGGCTTGCAGACACTCGCCCAAAGCAAGGGGAGCTCTCCGAAGGGCTCCCCGTGCTTCGGGTGACAGGCTGCCGCCCCAAGCCTCGCGCACCCGGCGGGACCTCCTGCCGGGTGCGCGAGGCTTGCAGACACTCGCCCGAAGCAGGGGAAGCCCTCCGGAGGGCTCCCCGTGCTTCGGGTGACAGGCTGCCGCCCCAAGCCTCGCGCACCCGGCAGGACCTCCTGCCGGGCGCGCGAGGCTTGCTGACACTCGCCCGAAGCAGGGGAAGCCCTCCGGAGGGCTCCCCGTGCTTCGGGCGGCAGGCTGCCGCCCCAAGCCTCGCGCACCCGGCGGGACCTCCTGCCGGGTGCGCGAGGCTTGCTGACACTCGCCCGAAGCAAGGGGAGCTCTCCGAAGGGCTCCCCGTACTTCGGGTGACAGGCTGCCGCCCCAAGCCTCGCGCACCCGGTGGGACCTCCTGCCGGGTGCGCGAGGCTTGCTGACACTCGCCCGAAGCAGGGGAAGCCCTCCGGAGGGCTCCCCGTGCTTCCGGCGACAGGCTGCCGCCCCAAGACTCGCGCACCTGGCGGGACCTCCTGCCGGGCGCGCGAGGCTTGCAGACACTCGCCGAAAGATTTTAAAATGCTGGGGGTCGGGAGCGAAGCGTTCGCTCCCGCCCGCCAGCATTTTAAGATCGCCTGGGGCAGCGGAGAAGTCTCCGCTGTCCCGGGAAGGCAGGCGGGGGGCAGCAAAGACTTTTGCCCCCCGCCGGCCTTCAGAAGAGGTCCAGGACCTCTTCTGAAGGCCGGCTGTGGGCGAAAGTCTTTGCTCCCGACCGCCAGCAATTTAAAACAGGTCCCCGGAGATTTCCCTATAGGCTTTCGTCTTGCGAAGCAAGCCCATAGGGAAATTCGTCTTGCGAAGAGCCTCCAAAACAGAAAACCCTTTCGTCTTGCGGGTTTTCCGTCTTGCGAGGCATTCGTCTTGCGGGGTACCACTGTATACGTAAACTCTATCTGCTAACATTTCCCACGTTCATCGGGGGCCACATGGGAGAAGAGGCTGCCCACTGACCTATTTGATTCTTCACGGCTTTTCCTTTAGCAACTTCTTCGGCCACTCGGTCTTTAGAGAACGGCAACATCCCCCCAAGATGTTTACTCTCCCTCGCATCCGCCACCATCTCCTCCTCCTCCTTGCTCCCCGCGGCGCTTTCCTCCGACGTCGCTCCACCTTCGCTGCCTTCTTCCATGCTGTCTTCCTCATCTCCGCTGCCTTCTTCGACACTGTCGTCTTCCTCACCTTCCTCCAACATTTCCATCGCACTGCCCATTTCGTCCAGCCCCTCTGCAAATTTCGCAAAGTCGTCCACAGCCTGGAAAACGAAAGCATCTTCCTTCAGTTTCCCCAGCTGTTTATTTTCTTCTTCCTCCTCCTGGCTGCTGGCAACGCTGCAGGTAGCATCTTCCTCATCCTGGTCCTCATCCTCCTCATCCGTTTCCTCTTCCTCGTTTGAAGTCTGCTCATCTATCCATTACGAAACAAAAAGACTATTGTTAACACTTATCCGTCACGAACGGCACCCATGAACGGCAATCCATTAAGGTCAAAGCTGGTGCTTAACTGTGTACATCAGGGGCTGGGAACGATTTCGGCTCCAAGGGGCAGATCTCTATCAAGATCAGTCTTGTGGGGCAAATCCGACAGGTGGGCAGGGCCATGCACCTGTCAATCACCTGGTGTCAGGTGCAAGGTGCTACTAAAATGAAGAGTTTATTTACATTTGTTTTAGCAGGGAGGGTGTGCATGGAATCCTTACAACATATAGAGCAAGTCCAGGATGTACACCATATACAATCCTTAAGCAAGGTATATAACCTATTTAATTAAATCCGATGCAGATATATTTCTTCCATCCTTAAGACATTCTTGTTTGAGTTCGAGTTCATATATTACACAGTCCTCAAATGTGATTAAGGAAAGGTCCCTGGAACGTCACGGACATTCTTGCTTAAGGATTGTATATGGTGTACATCCTGGACTTGATTCGTATGTTAGGAAGTAGCCAGTAAAGAAATTTGTTACAAACATTATGATCCAGCCTATTGCGCTCTATATGTTGCAATTATTGCATCTGCGTAACAATGCATCGTATTTGTTTTGTGCATGGAATCCTGCACGACTCCCCCCCCCCTCAAAGAATCCTGGGAACTGTAGTTTACCCCCCTCAGAGCTACAATTCCCAGCACACTTCACAAACTGCTGCATTCACACCATACAATTGAAGCTCATTACTTCCCCCAAAATACTCCTGGGAATTGCAGTTGACCCCCTCCCACAGCTACAATTCCCAGCACCCTTAAACCACAATTTGCAGGATTCTTTTGAGGAAGGGATAAGTCATGTTCTTTAAACATAGAAAGTGTGTACGCAGCCTAAGTTGATCTAGTATTCCTTGGCTATAAGGGTAACGTTAAAATAGTTATAGCAATCCCATAGCTTCCTTAAAGGCAGAGGTCACCAACGTGGTGCAGATATGCTGGTAGAGGCCTTTACTGGTGCCCACAGGGCCCCCTCCCACCGCTGAAATTAAGCTTGAAAGAAGCGTTCTGTTATAGCTAATGGAATCTGTTGCAGGATGTGTGCCTGTCACCCCCAACAGTTTCTCCTGTTTGCAAATGCACCCACAGACCCCCGCAAAAAAAAAAAAAAAAAAGGCTAGCGGCCCCTGTTTAAAGATCAACTCCCATTTTACAATATGTGCATTTTCAAGATTTTGACTCAGGCACGGGGTGGGGTGGGGGTGTGTGACAAGGAAGTTCATGGAGCTTTCCCCCTGCCCCTCCCCCCACCTTGGCAGATTGACGCCTCAAACTTGCACTTTCCTGCAGCAGCTGAACCGATTATCAGACCCATTGATTAGCTGACAGCCTTTCCCATTAAATAATGAGATAATGGGTGAGCATTACAAGGTGATCAAGCACCCTTACGTACATCTTTATTAAGGGGGGGGGGGAGTGAGGCATCGTATACAGGGATACAGTCTCTGAGAAATCTATCAATGTTTAAAAAGAAAAAAGAGAGAGTTGCCAATTTCCCTCTCACTGATCCAGCACCAACCTGACAACCTGGGACCTCCATGCAACATGAAAATATTACAGTGACGTCTCAGGACAGAAAGAGCGGCCTGCAAGACTGCTTAAGCATGCTAGAACGCCACCATTCTAATTCTGCATGCTTTTTCCAACGCAGGTGAACTGTCTGATTCAGTATGCTCAGAACCAAAACACCCCACAATACTTAGCATTCAAAGGTATTACTACTACTACTTCTAATAATAATAATAATAATAATAATAATAATAATAATCAATTATATTTGTATACAGTCCTTCATCTGAAAAATCTTAGGGCTGTTCACAGAACAAAAATACAGAATAAAACCACAAAGTGCTTAATAAAAATGAGGGAACGGACCCACAAAATAACCCCCTTTCCCCCATGATCAATAATGAACTTTAAAAAATGTTTAAGAAATCCTTTTTTCAAAAGCCCAGAAGCATTGTTGTTGGGGATAACAACAACAGAAATCACCAAAAAAGGGAGAGAAATTTGTGCCTATATGCGATAACAGCTGCCAGTGTGCTACTAGGGCAAAAATGGAAAACAGTTAAGGTACCAAGAAAACAAAAATGGTATATCAAACTGTTAGAATATGGGGAGCTAACAGGGATGACCACTAGAATAAGAATTTTTTTTTGCATTGGTTTTCTGCATATTCTGTTGGTACAGAATTATATCAGAAATGCAAATATATATATATATATATATATATATATATATATGCAGGTTTTGGTGTCCTCGGGTGTCTTCCCGTGTAAAAGACACCCGAGGACACCAAAACCTGCATTCCTGTACCCGTGAAAATCTACGAAAGCATATATATATATATATACACACACACCTTCCCCAAAAAGCATTTAAAAGGGGTACTGGCATCTAAAGATGTAGAATGGAGCCGCCAACCAAACCTCCCTGGGGAGAACATTCCAGAAACAGGGAGCCACTGCAGAAAAGGCCCCCTCTCATGTTGCTACCTTCTGAACCTTTCGCAGCAGAGGCCCACGAAGAAGGGCCTCAGATGATGATTTCAGGGTCCGGGGTAGGTGGCTGGGGCTGATGGGAGTTGTGGTCCAAAATATCTAGAGGGCACCACATTGGAAAAGGCTGTCCTAAACATTAAGAGAGCTTGACAAGAAATGGGGACTCCCCCCCAAAAAAAAGGGAACGGTGCAGGATCTCACCTGACAGTTGATCGTCTCCCCACATCTCTTCCTCCAAAGCTTTGCGGGATACGGCCTTCCCACGGTATCTCTTATCAGCATCCAAAAGGTGGGAGGAGACCCCCTTTCGTATGTGCCCAAGCGCAAGGACATCATCTTCATCACCTTCATCAAACTTGTCAACCACCCTGGCTGCGGTGGCTGCAAAAGGGGGAGAGAAGGTGAAAGAGATTAATGGGGGGTGTTAGAAGGGGGGAACTCCACCCCTCCAGTGGTCCAAGAAGTTTGCCGAAATCACTGGCTGAATGGGGAACACGCAGCTTTTCAGATGTGGCCAGATCACAACTTGCAATAGCTCCTCAGCCAACGCAACCCAACGATCAGGGGTGATGGGAGTTGCAGCCCAACAACATCTAGAGAGTCAGAGACGGCTTCTGCGCAGAAAGATACACCACCAAATATTCACAGTAAATTGATATTCCCGTGCAGCAAGGCACGATACCCTGGAATTCTAAATACCAGGAACAAGCAACAAAGAGCTCACTGCAACATGTCTGGGAGTTCCACTGTTTAAACCACAATGCTGGATTAATAAGACCTCACTCAGATGCAGCCAAGATGATTCCTGCCATGCACAGCAGCAGAAACTCTGGTTGGTTTTCACCATCAGCTACCAACATATCCCTAAAGCATGTTAAGATAGGAGAGGGAACAGCATTGCAGGCCCTGCCCTGTGGAACTCCCTGCCACTAGAGGCATAGCAGAAACCATCCTTGCCTTTTCTCCAGACGTCTTCTGAAAACCATACTGTTTAGGCAGGCCTTCACAATATGAATTTCTCTTTTGAACCAACCAGTTATATTTAGGGATTGATTGTATTATTTTTGCATATAAAATCCTTGATAATAGTTTATGAAAGCATAGATTGCAAATATTCAAATAAATTTGCCCCCAGGAGTGGAGGGAAGGCACATTCCTAGTCTCTTATTTTACTAAGAGCATCATCATTACACTCTTGGGGGCTGATGCAAACACACGTTTTACGAAGTAGAGCTGTCACCCCATTAAAGAAATGTTACTCAATTAATTGCATGGGTCCTTTATCAACTATTTTAGTCAATCAAAACCTTTCAAGCCTGGCAGTGTAGTGTAATGAATCAACCAACTACAACAAAGCAGTCCTAACTAAGAGATCTTCTTGAGATCAAGTTCTGAATTTCTTTGCCAATTATCACAGCAGGTCCATGATGTTAAACTGAGATACCATCTCAGCAATAAACACCTTTACATTATGCACCAGTCAGTGGCATTGAATGAACCAGCTGCAAACCTCTTGGTTCTATATGGCAACATATTTTAATTGTTTGTTTTTATTTTATTAAATTTCTACACTGCCCTTCATCCAAGGATCACAGGGCAGTTTACAATATAAAAACACAACATTAAAGATCCCAGGTGAATAGCACATAGAGGCAGGGCGTGTTGAGTTTTTCAACTTTCAAATTCCAAAAATGAGGGGTGCTAAAAAGTTGTAACATGATTTGAGAATTATAATAATAATAATAATAAATTTTATTTGTATCCCGCCCTCCCCTGCTGGAGCTGGGCTCAGAGCAGCTAACATCATCTAAAAACACAATATGCATAAAACAATCAATTAAAATGCATCCCAAAATTATTTCAAATAAATTAAAATTAAAATTAGACTGGACAAACGGCCATCCTCAAGTTAAAACTGAAAGCAGTTAATGTTATTTTGATTAAATTAATATAATGTAGTTTTCCTTGATAAGTAAAATGTGTGTAAATTTTAATGGTTGCCAAGTACCTGCAGTTATATCATATACTATTAGCAGTATTAGTATTATTTAGCATTACCTGACATTTTCAGAAGGTAAAATGAAATTCTTTGGTTTTCTGAAAGCAGTTTATGTGCTGCTTCATCAAACTGACTTACCAAGCTAAATGTTGTCCAATAACAAAAATAATAGATTTGAATTCCTCACACTTGGAAACATGTTTTCAAGATGCCTCATAAAAGACACGTGCAAGAACTTTCACCCCTTTGATACGCCCTAGTACAGGAGGCTACCTTAAAACTTCTTGCAAGGAGTTCTGGGAGCTGTAGTTTGTTAAGAGAGTTGTTGAGACCGCCTGCTCCCCTCCAAGATCTACAATTCCCAGAGCGGCTTAAACAATCATCTCTTTTCTCAAAGCTATGGGAATTGTAGTTCTGGGAGGGGAAGAGGGGTCTCGCCTAATAACTCTCCAAACAACCCCCCCCTTCTCTCTCTCTCTCACACACACACACAATTCCCCTAGTTTCCTAAAAAAAAACATGCACACGTGGCCAAGGAAACTTTCACTAGCTCTCTGAAACCCAAGTACACACATGCACGCACGCACACATACGCGTGTCCAGAGATACTTGCACACGTGTCCAGGAGGCCTTTCCACTCGCTTGGTAAAACCCACTCAGCGACACACACACACGTGTCCAGAGGTACCGTATTTCCACCCGCTTGGTGAAACCCACTCAGCGACACGCACACACACAAACACACACGTGTCGAGGGGCTCTCCCACCACCGTTTCCAACCCACGTGTCCACACACATGCACCGGCCCCTGCTTCTCGGAGAGAGACGGAGCCCGAAGCCGCCCCGTCGCGGTTTCTTCCCCCCACCCACCCGCTCACCGTCCTCGGGGTCGTCCTCGGGGTCGTGCAAGGCGCGGGGCAGCGGGTTGAGCAGCCGCTCCAGCTCCTCCGCTAAGGGCGCCGCCATCTTGAGCCTCTCCTGGCCCGCCCGGAACAAGGAGGCGGAGGCAGCAAAGGGCCGCCCAGAGGCCCGGGAAAGGGGAGGGCCTCTCGCTTTGCACATTTTTGCACGCGCGGACACAGCCGTGCATATACATTAAATGCACGTGCACCCTCCGCTCAAATTCCCAGGGCGGTTTTCTTATGGCTGGAGCAGCACTGCAGCTGCCAACCTTCTTTTTATTTCATTTTTTTGCTGCTTGGTTTTGCATTTAGGCTGCCAGACCTTGCGATGAATCTTTAAGGGGGTTTGAGGGTTGTTGTTGTTGTTTTTTACAATCAAGCAGTGTATAAATTTTGTTGTTTAATTTCGGTGAATGCTTCTTAACGAGACGCTTTTATCAACTTACTGATGGGATGTCAAAGAAATAAACAACTATCTGACTTTTAGAAGACATCCGAAGGCAGCCCTGTTTAGGGAAGCTTTTAATATTTGATAGTATTTTAATATTTTGTTGGAAGCCGCCCAGAGTGGCTGGGGAAACCCAGCCAGATGGGCGGGGTATAAATAATAAATTAATATTATATTATTATTATTTTGGTGTTTTTTTAGTTAATTGTGTAATTTTCTTTTCATGTTCTGGGTTGCCTTCAGTATGATTTCTTACACCAAGAGAGCATGCACATTAAAAGTGAGAGTGATGATAATGGCAGTGGCCACATTCACAACAAATATATTTAAAGCACTATGTCGGGTTGCCATATTTCAAAAAGTAAAAACATTGAAAGTTGTTTAGCTTTATTATTATTATTATTTAGGAAAACACAGAAAACACCCAAAAAACCCTGCTTTTTTGTTTGTTTGTTTACTTGCTGAAGATCCAGGACAAACCGTGGCCTTCTCTAAATTCCCTCCAGACATCACTTCCGCCTTTGAAATCCTGGTAATATCCAGGAAAATCCGGACGTACAGCAGCGCTAGCATTAGGGCACCACTTTGAGACAGACATGGCTTCCCCCAAAGAAATCTGGGAGCCATAGTTCTGGGTGCTGAGAGATGTTAGGAGACACCCCCCTCCATTTCCTCTATCAGAGCTACAGTTCTCCAAGTTCCTTGGGAAGAGCAATGGATTGTTAAACCACTCTGGGTCTTGCAGTTTTGGGAGGGCAACATGGAGACACTTGTGGCACCTTGAAGGCTTAACACATTTATTACGACTCCTCCTTGCTTTTGTGAGAACGCAGGCCAATATGTCTACCCTGTTTGTGTGAACTTTTACAGCTGAGGGGATGGATTTCAGTTAAGCTGCCTCGATCGTCATGCTGCACTCTAATAATGTGTTACGTTTCAAATGCCCAAAGCACTTCGTGCAACTGAAATCCTTACGACGATAAGCGAGTGTCATTTGCGTACATTTCACAGAAGGGGAAACTGAGGCCAAAGAAAAGAGTGTATGGCCTGAGCCCAGCTACTGAGTTCTTGATTCATAGCTTGGTCTCTTAGCAACTGCATCGCACCAGTAGTGCAAAAGCCCTACAACAAACACACTGGTTTTCTGGGTATCTCAACATATTATTGCGGGGAGCTATCAAGAGTCCCCTGTTGGCAGCCTTAAAAGAGTTAACAAATAGGTAGCCCCAAATCCCATGCAGGTCTGCTGATAAGAGAGCTTCCAGCTGAAGCTCCTTTGCCTTTTAAATGATTGGATAGGAGGGGCTTGGGGAGGGAAAACCTTCTTTGCCTGGAGAGCCACTGTCAGTCTGACATTCCCTGCCCAATGGTGGGTGGGTTGAGAGGGAATGGGTGGGTCAGGCAATGGAAGTGATACAGTTGGTAACATTCCCAACATACAAATTCCTGAAGTTTCTCCAGTCTCCATGACCACAAGAAAATGCAGTTTAATTGGGCTGGGTTTTTGTTAGGGAGGGGCTGCTGCTGCTATTTATATATATTTTTAAAATGTATCTTTGTTTTGGATCCTATTAAGATTTATGTGGAAGTTGTTCCATCAGGTTGTGTTCTTTTTGATGTTTTATTCGTTGCTTGACTATTTTTATTATGTATATAATTATACTTTTTTTTATTTTACATGTTGTAAGCCGCCTTGAGCATGGTCCCAATTACGGAAAGGCAGCATACAAATAAAATTATGTATAATGTGCCTATATAATTAGCAATCCACTTCAACAGTTTTATCTGATGAATGGGACTGTAGTCTGTGAAAGCTTATGCCATCATAAGTTTGTTGGTTCTTAAGGTTACAAATGGCTCTGTTGTCTTTGCTAACACTAATACCCCTCTGCAGAAGTCAACTGTGGCAGTATGTATATTTTAGGGTGACTGTAGTCCTGAATCTACTGACCTGAGAGTAAGTCTATTTGAATTAAGTGGGATTAATGTCTGGGTAAGCATGTCTCACATTGAATTATTAGGTGATTAAAAGACAAACAGAAAGGTAATATTGAGTGTGTATGTATTTTGCAGGTTCAGAAAGTGGCACTAGGCGTGGAAAAGATATGCCTGTGTTTTATTTCACAAAATTTATACACTGCTTGATTGTAAAAATCCTTGAAGCAGTTGTGCTGTTTCCAACCTATAAATCTAATATTGTAAATTACTTTTAAGCTGTGGCTAATTTCCCACATGTTAAATCGGCAGAGGTAAACCACTGCCCCCAGTCTAATTAGCCCTCCCAGGCCTCCCCCTTTGATGTGCAAGGCTGTTTAGCCAAGCCATGCACACCTGTGCTACACCTGATGTCAGGTACAGGACCGGTCAAGAGAGGCACCAGGCTTTGCAAGTGCTGATCATCAACTGATCATCAGCACTTTCAAAGTGCTGTGCCTTTGCCTGTGTGGTTTGATTTCAAGCCATGCAGGCAAAGGAAGATGGGTCACTTGATGTCAGGTGATTGACACGTGGATAGCACTGCCTACTTGTAAAAGCTGTCCTATTAAGGATCCAACTAACGTGCAGGATCCAGTCCCCCATCACCACCACATTAAATATTTCACAAATTAGGGGACAAAGCATTCCTTCACGAATCAATATGATTTATTGATTTTCATTCCTTTCCCCATACAGATCATGGATGGAATTAGAAAGATTTGGTTCCCTCAGTAGGTGCTTATAGTGCCATTTACACTTCATCGCACTCACTGGCCAGGCCATCAACTGGAAAGGTTTTTATTCCACCCATAAAATGTTTGATTATTCCTTTTTGAAAACAATCATATGCACCCACAAGTACTGAGCCTACGGTAATTTGTTCCTCAACTTGTCCCCCAATTTGCATGTTTGACTGGTACCTAGGTTTCAAAATATAAGACCATACTATATGATGAATTTTAATTAAAAGAGAAGAGGTGTTCAAAAACAAAATCTTGTGCATACCAAGAGCTCAGTGTGGCTTACTCCCTGGTAAGTGTAGTTAGAACTGCAGCCCACCCACGCCATATAATCAAACAACAAACATACGCAGAATGGACTGGGAATTCAATAGCAGATATGAGTACTTATGGAAGCATTCAGCCATACCAGAAAACATCCCAATATATCGACCCATGTAGAAACTGCATTCCTAACCCCCCAGAGTGCCAGATTAATGCTTTTCTTCCCAATATAAAAAAGCACTAAATATATAATGGAAAGCCTGCATGGGTGTGTGCATATTTTGAAAGAATAATTGTGTTGGCTTGTTCCAGCAACCTCACTTTCAAAATTGATAATTCTGTGTCTCCTGAAAGACTAAGGCTACATTTAACCTGGGAGGAAGCCCCACTGCACCTAACTTCCGAATAGACTTGCATAGGATTGCGCTGTTAAGGTTGCTATTCTGTGCTCACTTGCACAGGAGTAAGCCCCGCTGAATGAAGAGAGGCTTACTTCTGGAGTAAACACACATAGGATTGTGCTCAAATTCAGGGTAGCAGGTCATAAGCTTCATAATATCTGAGGCACAACACAAAATTAATGCTTTTCTTCCCAATATAGGAAAATGGCAATTACAATAGGAAAACGTACTTTGGTGGGTTCCCCCTTCATAAATTAATATTTTCACGATGCAGTACTGTAAAGGGCAAGAAATAGGAAGCATTGCCTGAGGCTGCCCTCTTCTTCCTCCACTGTGTTTTATACACATTTATTCAGAAGTAAGCCCCACCAAGTCGGGCAGGAGGACCAATCAGTTCCAGATCAATCTGCTTCGGATAATAGCCTTTGAAGTGACACGGCAAACATGGAAGGGAAAGTGAAACTGGCAAAAGATGCTGAGTTGCCAAATTATGTCCAGGGAGAAAAAGAGAGTAGATAAAGGACATTTAAGAGTTGTGGGGAACCTGAGGTCCAGGTAGGCCTCAGGACTCCCCTCAGGACAGGTGCTACAACCCCAGGCCATGCCTCTGGCCATTCCTCCTCAAATCCTTTTGCCTGAATGAAATGTTTCATTAAACTTTGACTCTGCCTTTTGCTCCCCTGAATGAGGGATGGCGAGATAGTGTGTAAAAATGTGTAACTTTCCCATAGTTGGAATGTACAAAGGCAAGTGTTGCCTCTGCTGTTCCACTCACTCGCCTCTGGCCCCATCCAGCACTGACATGACGTGAGTCCCTCGAATGTTTGCCCGTGAGGGGCAGCAGCCCTCAGGCTTGCAAAGATTCCTCACCCCTGCTACCCAGGGCCAGCCCAAGACATTTTTGCACCTGAGGCGAACCAGAACATGGCATCCCTACCAGCCTGAAAATAAAAGTTGAGTGAAGATGCTGCATGAATAGGCAGGGCTCGTCTCAGACACTGCGCTGCCTGGGGCAGAGGACAAGATGGCGCCCTCCCTGTTCCATGCACAGCAGCTGACTAGAGCTGTCGTTGAATCTTAACTTCAACCTGGCAACAGGATGACATCCTCCAGTCTGCGGTTTATATAGGTCTGATCCCCATCACAGGGGAATGGCCCTGGGTTCAAGATGAATGGGGGGTGCCTGTCGCTTCTGCCTGAGGAGACTACTTCCCCTAAATAATTATGGGAGCTGTATTTTGTTATGGGTGCTGAGAGCTGTTAGAAGGCCCCTGTTCCC